AGCAGCAGAAACAGCAGAACCAGCGGCCGACGCAGCGGCAGGAGCACACGAATTGCAGCTGGCTTTAGTCGCTCAAGACACAGGTACCAAAGAGCAACAGCAGCAGCAGCAGCAGCAGCAGCAGCAGCAGCAGCAGCAGCAGCAGCTGCAGCAGCAGCAGCAGCAGCAGCAAGATTTGGTTGCCAGCGAAACAGAAGAGGACAGGACGGACTTCGGAGCAGCAGGGCAGTACACAAGCAAACGGATACTAAAGGCCATGGGAATGCAGCAGCAGCTGCAGCTGCAGCAGCAGCAGCAGCAGCAGCTGGAGCAGCAGCAGCAGCAGCAGCAGCAGCAAGGGAGCACTGCTGTGGAGCGAGAGGCAGCAGCAGTGAAGCAGCGGCGACCCCGCAGCAGCAGCAGAAGCACCAGCACCCCCACAGAGCGCAAACGACTTAAGAAGAGGCAGCAGCAGCAGCAGCAGCAGCAGCAGCAGCAGCAGCAGCAGCAGCAGCAGCAGCAGCAGGAGGTGGAAGTTGTGGGGGCCGAGGGAGAGGAAGCAGCAGCAGCAGCAGCAGCAGCAGAAGTGTTGATCAACGAAATTGATGACCTGGATATAGATGCAGCAGCAGAAGCCGCAGCACAAAAAATCTGAAGAGCAGCAGCAGCTGCAGCAGCAGCAGCAGCAGTAGCAGCAGCAGCAGCAGACGCTGCTTCCTCGCTTAAGCTGTGCTGCTGGCCGCTCAATGAGACAGCTAGCCAGACTCCAGAGCCCCCGCTGCAACAGCTAGCTAGCCAGTTAGCTAGCTAGCCAGCTGGCTAGCTAGCTAGCTAGCCAGCCAGTTAGCTAGCTAGCCAGCTAGCTAGTCAGTTGGATAGTTAGTTAGCTAGCTAGCTAGCCAGTTAGTTAGCTAGCTAGCTAGCCAGTAAGTCAGGTAGCTAGCTAGCTGGCCAGCTAGCTAGCTAGCTGCTCAAACATGTCTATGAACAGCTAGCTGGCTAGCTAGCTGGCTAGCCAAAGTGCCCAGGCAGCAGCTGGCTAGTTAGCTAGCTAGCTGACTAGCTAGCTAGCTAATTGGCTAGCTAGCTAGCTGCGCATTGTCTATTATTTCCTGCAACAGCTAGCTGGCCAGCTAGCTGAACATCTAGCTAGCCACATGCATAGCTAGCTGGCTAGCTAGCAAATTAGCTGGGAACCCGTGTGGCTGGCTAGCTAGCTGGCCAGCTAGCTGAACATCTAGCTAGCCACATGCATAGCTAGCTGGCTAGCTACATGTATAGCTAGCTAGCTAGCTATGTGTGTGGCTAGCTGGCTAGCTACATGTATAGCTAGCTAGCTAGCTATGTGTGTGGCTAGCTAGCTACCAGCTAGCTAGCTAGATGTATAGCTAGCTAGCTAGCTACATACGTGGCTAGCTAGCTACCAGCTAGATAGCTAGATGTATAGCTAGCTAGCTAGCTAGCTATGCATCTAGCTAGCTAGCTGGATATCTGCCTGCCTTTCTAGCTCGCTAGCTTATTAGCTAGCTAGCTGGCTAGCTAGCTCTCCAGCTAGCTAGCCAAATAGCCGGCTACCTGGCTAGCTAGCTAGCAAGCCATTCGTGTGTAAGAAGGATTTGATGAAATGCCAAAAGTTTGTTCTCCCTCTTTGAGGTGCGGAGCCTGCTGCAGCGGGAGTTGCTGCTATCACTGCAATTGCTGCTGCTGCTGCTGCTGCTGCTGCTGCTTGAGCTGCTGCTGCTGCTGCTGCTGCAGGTGTTTGTGCTTCAGCCGTTTGGCCCGGCGCTCTTCAGGCGTTGCTGCTGCTGGGTTTCTCGTTTCCTTCCACCAGTAGCACTCTCGCTGCTGCTGCTGCTGCTGCTGCTGCTGCTGCTGCTGCTGCTGCTGCTGCCAAGGGGCAGGAGGCGGCAGGGTGCCTTGCAGCAGGGGGAGGAGGCAGGTGCTCTGCTGCGCTTGCTGTTGCTGCTGCTGCTCTTGCTGCTGCTGCTGCTCTTGCTGCTGCTGCTGCTGTTCTTGCTGCTGCTGCTGCTGTTCTTGCTGCTGCTGCTGCTGTTCTTGCTGCTGCTGCTGTTGCATGCGTCTGAGCACTTCCAGCTCCAGGCAAACGGGCGGCTGCAGCTGCCCTTCCCTGTCGATAACCCAGCCAATTAGAATGCTGCCATCCTGCTGCTGTTGCTGCTGCTGCTGCTGCTGTTGCTGCTGCTGCTGCTGCTGCTGCTGCTGCTTGATGGGCTCGAATATCGGCAGCAAATCTATTTCGGACTTTGGGTGGCGAACCACCAGCAGCGACCCCACAGAGCAGCCCAAAGGCAGCACCAGCGCCTCTCCAAACACCTCTTGCTGCTGCTGCTGCTGCTGCTGCTGCTGCTGCTGCTGCTGCAGCAGCAGCAGGGCGTGCTTGTTGTAGGGGATCAGCAGCAGCCCCTTGAGCTGCAGCGTCTGCACAACCAGCAGCTGCTGCTGCTCATCTGCGAAGAGCTTAACCGGCAGCAGGTGGCCCTGCAGCACAGCAGGAAGCTGCTGCTGCTGCTGCTGCTGCTGCTGCTGCTGCTGCTGCAGCAGCTGCTGCTGCAGCAGCAGCTGCAAGTCTTGCTTTTTAAAAAGCGAAAGAGGAGAGAGAGACAAAACCCCACGGGGGTGCAGCTGCCCGGTGTACATACACCACAAACGCAGAGTGCAGTCCCCGCTGCTGCTGACCACCCACTTCTGCTGCAGCAGCGATTTGCTGCTGCTGCTGCTGTCTTTGCTGCTGCTGCTGCTGCTGTCTTTGTTGCTGCTGCTGCAGTCACTGCTGCTGCTGGAGCTGCCGTTGCTGGCGCAGTGGTTGTCGGCGCCGTCGCCGCTTCTGCTGCTGCCGTCCTTGCTGCTGCTGCTGTCCTTGCTGCTGCTGCTGCTGCTGTTGCTGCTGCTGCTGCTGCAGCAAAGTATGGGTGCTGCATCTGTTATGAAATCCAAATGCCCCAAATGCGCTGTCTCCAGCTGCCACGGAGAAGCAGCAAAGCAGAGCCGCACCTTCTCGTCTCTGTCTCCCGTCAGCAGCAGCAGCTGCTGCTGCTCCTGCTGCTGCTGCTGCTGCTGCTGCTCCTGCTGCTGCTGCTGCTGCTGCTGCTGCTGCAGGTCAATCACCTTGAGGCATGTGACAGTCGTCAAATGCGCCATTACAGGAACGTCTTGGTCTGCCTCGTCTTCACTGAGCTCTCCAAATGCGTCACCTTTGCTGCTGCTGCTGCTGCTGCTGCTGCTGCTGCTGCTGCTGCTGCTGCTGTTACTGTTGGTGCTGCTGTTGGCGGGTTGCTCGTCGGTGCGGTTCCCCTTTGCTGCAGGATCTGCTGCTGCTGCTGCTGCTGCGTCTGCTGCCGCTGCTGCCGTCGTTGCTGCTGCAGCAGCCTTTGCTGCTGCTGTTGCTGTTACTGCTGCTGCTTGCATTTGCTGCAGCAGCACATCCCCTGCCAGCCGCTGCTGGCCTCCTATAGATTCCAGCGGCAGCAAAAATACATCACCAAACTTGTCACACAGCAGCACGCTCATCCTCTGCTGCTGCTGCTGCTGCTGCTGCTGCTGCTGCTGCTGCTGCGTGGGGATGAAGCAAGCAGCAGAGGCTTTCTTGCGCTGCACGCGCTGCTGCAGCAGCTGAAAAGGTTCGCCTTTCCAAAGACACAGCAGCTTATCATCTGCTGCAGTGAGCCACACGCAATTGCTGCTGCTGCTGCTGCTGCTGCTGCTGCTGCTGCTGCTGTTGCTGCAGGGGGCCCGGGCGTAGACGGGGTAGCTGCTGCTGCGCCTTCCGCAGTCCAGGCAGACGCAGTCTGCTGCAGCAACGTCCAGGGTGTGCTGCAGGTGCTGCTGCTGCTGCTGCTGCTGCTGCAGCTCTTGAGGGTCTATTAGGGGGTTGTTGTCGCTCGCTGCTGCTGCTGCTGCTGCCTGCTGCTGCTGCTGCTGCGCTGGGAGCCAGTGCTGCTGCTGGTAGTCAAAGAGAAGCAAAGAGCTGCCGTGAGCGGCAAGCAGCAGCGGCTTGTGTGGGTGCAGCAGCAGCGGGGGCTGCGGTATGGCCGGCAGCGGGCAAGAAAGGGGCTTCATTTTCGGAAAAAAGAAATAAAAAAGGATTTATTTATTTAAATTTAATCATTTATTTTAATTTAATTTCAAATTATTCAAAAAACTCGGAAAAAACAGCCCCAAACACCCCAGCAGCCATTCAAAACGCATGCACCGCTCGCGGGAAGTGACTCTGGAAATGGCGATTTAAATGCTTAAAAAGAATTACTTTTAATTTAAATTAATTTAATTTATTTTATTTTAATTAATTTAAATTTAAAATTCAATTTTTAATTCCTTTTCTCCGCAGTTTACAGCATTTCAGAAGCTCTTCAGATCCTCAAGCCCCATTTTGTTCAGCAGCAGCAGCAGCAGCAGAAAGAGTTCAAATTGAACACTTTTTGACTTATTTCTTTTTTATTTTTATTTTTATTTATTTTATTTATTTTTTAATTTATTTTGTTTTCAAATTAAACAGCAAAATCCATCAACTCTCGCGGATTCCCCAGTTGTTACACACTGCAGCAGCAGCAGCAGCAGCAGCAGCAGCAGCTCTAGCAGCAGCAGCAACAGTAGCTCTAGCAGCAGCAGCTACAATAAGACGAGTTGGAGTAAATGAATTGTTTGGAAACTGAATTAAAAAAGGTTTTGTTTTGTTTTGTTTTCATTTATTAAAAGTTCAAAATAAAATAAAAAAGAAAAATAGAAAATTCAAATAAATAATTTTGGCCTTTTTGCTGCTGCAGCAGCCGCTGGGCCTCAGCTTTGATTTAAAAGTATAAATAAAAACTTGTAAAAGTATTTTAATTCGAAATAAAAGAATTAAAAAGGATTTAAAACGAAAAAAATGATTTAAATCAATTAAAATGGATTTAAAATGATTTAAAAAAATTAAAAATCATTTAAAATAATTTTTTTTTTCAAAATTTCATTTCTTCGCCGCTTTCCACTTCTCCGCTGCTGTACAGACACCCGAACGCAGTGGGCGGTCTTCAAAACTTTTTTTGAAAAGTTAAAAAAATAAAAAAAGAAATAATTAAAAGAAATAATTAAAAAGATATAATAAAACAATAATAAAATATATCTTAAAATAAATAAATAAATAAATAACTAAATAAATAAATAAAAGATTAAATGAACAAATGGGAAGAAACTGATGAAGTGAATTGTTAAAAGAAATAAATAAAATAAAATAACAAAATAAAATAAAATAAATAAATTGAAATAAATAAAAGTCAAAACAAATAAATAAAACAAAATATGAAAAAAAGGAAATAAAAAGAAAGTGAAAAGGTGATTAAATTAAATGGTATTTTTGACGGCCAAAAGAAATTTAAAAAATTGACTTCAAATTCAAAAAAAATAAAATGCATTAAATAAATAATATAAATAAATAAATAAATTTAAATAAGTGAATAAATAATATAAATAAATAAATAAATCTAAATAAATAAATGTATAAATAAACTCATTCAATAAATAAATTTATATAAATAAATAAATAAACTCATTATAAATAAATAAATAAATAAACTCATTAAATAAATAAATTCAAACAAATAAATAAATGGAAGTAAATAAATAAATAAATAACAAATAAATAAATCAATAAATAAATAAACTCCATTAATAAATAAATTGAAATAAATAAATCAAATAAATTTCAACTTTAAAAATCAAAAAAATAAATTTAATCGAATAAATAAATTTTTTTAAATTCATTTTTTTTTAAAACCAAAAAAGGCAAAGACGGAAAATAAAACTTTTGGAAATAAACAGATCACTAGAAACAAATAAATAAACAAATAAATAAACAAATAAACAAATAAATAAATAAATAAATGAATAAATAAATAAATAAATAAACAAATAAATAAATAAATAAAATAAATAAATAATTAAAAGAATCCCGTCTTGGAAGCTCTTTGCAAATAATGCCATCTGCAGGTGTTGGCGCTGCAGCCTTTTTCTTTGCCTTTGCATTTATCCAAATGAATTTCATTTTTGCTGCTGCTGCTGCTGCTGCTGCTGCTGCTGCTGCCGCTGCTGCTGCTGCTGCTGCGGCTGCGGGTGGTGGTGGTCTTCCTGCTGCTGCTGCTGCAGCAGCAGCAGCAAGCTGAGGGCTCGAGGCCTCCAGATATGACCTTGTAAGTGCTTCGGCTGCTTCGGCCGAAGCTTGCTGCAGTTGCTGCTGCTGCTGCTGCTGCTGCTGCTGCTGCTGCTGCTGCTGTTGGTGCTTTTCTTGTATCCCTCGCTCGGCCGACGCGAGGAGCTGCTGCTGCTGCTGCAGTTGCAGGCAGCGCAGCAGCGAGGAGAAAAGGCACCGGCTGCAGCAGCAGCAGCAGCTGCGGCTGCTGCTGCTGCTGCTGCTGCTGCAGTCCCATGGGAGACAAGCTCCGAGGTGTATGTACACCCCAAGTTTCCTGCCCCTTGAAACGCGGGAGACTGCGGCTTCTTCTTTCGGAAGCAAAAAGCCCTAGGGGCTGCGCCATGGCTGCAAACCCTAAACCCTAAACCCTAAACCCTAGGAGGGGGAGGAAGGGTGAAGAATGGGGTGGAGGTTTAGGGTTTAGGGTTTGGCTGCGCCTGCGCAAGGAAGACCCTTGAAAAGACTCTTTTTCTCCGGATTAGTTGAATTTGAATTGTTTTTTCTTTTTGAATTTAAATTATTTATTCTTTTGGAAGAAAAGAATAAATAATTCAAATTCCAATTCAGATCTTCGGGAAGATCTAGCCAAGAGGAGCAGCGGGAAGAGCGCGAGCGCTGCGAGCCTCCGCGAACTCCGAGAAAGGCAGCAAACAAAGAGCAAATAACTAAATAAAGAGTCAAAAAATCATAAATTGAAAATATTAAAAGATTAAAATCTCTTTTTCAAAACAAATGACTGTTTCAGTTCCAGATTTGGCCCGCGAGTTTCCCCGGGACCTCCGCAGCTAGCCGCGCGGGAAGGCGCGGGGGCCAGCTAGGCGGAAACCGCGGCGATCTGAGTTTGAAATCTCTTTAAAATAATTAAAAAATTACTTCCAAAACTTTTAAATATTCAATTTAACTTTATTTCACAAAAAGTCTCACAAAATGTTTTCTATTTCAGCTTTCTTTCCCCCGCCGCCGACGCCGCCCGCCGACGCGCAGCTGTCTAGACACCTGAAACGCCGTTTGCTCGATTTCAGGTTTCGGACTTCATCCATTTATTTATTTAAGTCATTTTATATAATTTAAATGACATAATAAAACTATTTAAGAGAGAATTTCCTTTTTTTCCCGCGATTTCAGAGCTCTAATCGCCTATTTCATCAGACCCTCCGCTCTTCACGCCTTCACCATTTCCTCTGCAAATTTCCGCTATTTTCGCTTATTTCTCTGCAATTCTCTTTATTTGAGCACTTCATTCTTTTATTTTTCATTTATTATTTTTATTTTTGTCCATTTAATTCGTTTTCCGCTTTATTTCGACAAAAATCGCAAAAATGAGTTTCTTGAATTTCCAGTTCTGCCGCTGCCCTTCCGAGCTGTACGTACACCCCAGCACTTCCGCAGATTTTCTTTTTTGGTTTTCTGCAGTTCTTTTCTCGGGTGTACGTACACCACAAATCGAGTTCTTTTTTTTCGTGCTGCTAGCTTCAAAAAACTCGAACCAAGCCCAAATAAGCTGCTGCTGCTGCTGCTGCTGTTGCTGCTGCTGCTGCTGCTGCTGCTGTAGCTGGTGCTGCTGCTGCTGTTGCTGCTGCTGCTGCAGCTCGAAATGCAGCAAATAAATGCAGAACAAAAAAATTAAAAATACCAAAAGTGGCAGCGCATGCAGCTGCTGCAGCGCGCCGAGTGTACATACACCCCAGATCCGTGGGCAAAGTCTGGAAGAAAAGGAATTAATTATTTTGAATTAAATCTTTTGAATAAAAGAAACAAATCTTTTTAATAAAAAGAAACAAAAAGGTTTTTCTTTTCAATTCAAATTTGCTGCTTCGGTCCGAAGTTAAAAGACAAAAAAGAACTCCGGAGTGGCCTAACCTGCTGCTGCTGCTGCTGCTGCTGCTGCTGCTGCTGCTGCTGCGCATCCTGCAGCAGCGTGGGGGGCTGCTGCTGCCTCTAGGTCTCCAGCTGGCGCACTGCGCCTTCCTCGAACTGACTGCCTGCTGTTGCTGCTGCTGCTGCTGCTGCAGCAGCAGCAGCAGCAGCAGCAGCAGCAGGTGCTGTTTGGGGCTCCAGCTGCCGCAGCAGCTGCAGAGCAATTCTGTAGCTGCTGAAGTCAAAGCCGTCAACGCGGCGGCAAAGACGGGGCTTCAAAAGAGGAACAAAAACTGCTGGTGCTGCTGCTGCTGCTGCTGCTGCTGCTGCTGCTGCTGCTGCTGCTGCTGCTGCTGCGGGTGGCGACGCTGCTGCTGCTGCGGGTGGCGATGCTCCTGTTGCTGCTGCGAGTGGCGATGCTTCTGCTGCTGCTGCAGGTGGGGGTGCTGCTGCTGCTGCTGCTGTTGCTGCAGGGGGGGATTCTCCTGCTGCTGCTGCAGATGCTGCTGCTCCTGCTGCTGCTGCAGGGGATGGCGTTCGTGTTGCTGCTGCTGCACGTGGTGATGCTGCTGCTGCAGCTGCTGCTGCTTCAGGCGCTGACGCTCGGATGGGTGATTCTGCTGCTGCTGCTGCTGCTGCTGCTGCTGCTGCTGCTGCTGTTGTGTCTGCTGCGGCTGCAGCTGGTGATGCTGCTGGTGCTGCTGCTGATGCCGCTGCTGGCGGTTCTGTTGCTTCTGCTGTTGCTGCTGCTGCAGCTGCTGCCGCTGCTGTTGCTGCTGTTGCTGCTGTTGCTGCTGCAACAATCTCCATTTGCTGCGATGCCGACGCGTCCATGAGTGCTGCTATTTGCTGCAGCTGCTGCTGCTGCAGCAGCAGCAGCTGCAGCGACCCCACAAACTGATAAGTCCCATAAGGCTCAAAGACAGGCTTTCTGTGCATCTCCCTGCAGCAGCAGCAGCAGCAGCAGCAACAGCAATAGCAGCAGCAGCAGCAGCTCGTGAAGAAGCAGCAGCAGCAACAAAGAGGAGAGCAGCAAAGAAATAAACTAGCGGCAGTGCAAACGGCAGCAGCACAAACATCACCAGCAGCAGCAGCAGCAGCAGCAGCACGAGCAGCAGCAGGAGCAGCAGCAGCAAGCTGCTCTAAGCAAAAAGCCGAAGCAAACCATAAATTAATAAAATTATTTATTTTAATTAATTAATTAAACCTTCTAAATATTTAATTTATTCATTAGCCAATTAATAACATATTTTAATTAATTAATTAATTAATTAATTAATTAATTAATTAATTAATTTAATTAAATAAATAATTTTAATTAATTAAATTTCTTACGAAAGATCTGCAAGAAGAAATTCATTTTTATTTTCTCCTTTAAAGACTTCGAAGCAGCAAAAAGAAAAAAGATAAAAGCAGCAAACGCGGCACTGCAGCAAAGGCTGCTGCTGCAGCAGCAGCTGCCGCAGCTGCTGCTGCTGCTGCTGCTGCTGCTGCTGCTCATGCAGCTGCTGCTGCGCCTCCTGTGGAGACTCTTGATTGCTCGGCTGCTGCTGAATTGTGCTTCCTTCTCCGTCGGTCTGCTGCTGCTGCTGCTGCTGCTGCTGCTGCTGCTGCTGGCCAGCAGCAGCAGCAGCAGCAGCAGCAGCAGCAGCAGCAATTTCCCACAGCTCCTCCAGCAGCAAAGGCGTTCCCGATGGCACTGAAGCGTCTTTGCTGAAGGAAGAGAGATTGCATGCAGTTCGGGAGCTGCAGCAGCAGCAGCTGCAGCAGCAGCTGCTGCTGCTGCTGCTGCTGTTGCTGCTGCTGCTGCTAAGAGAGTGAAGACACGTAGAGGAACGCTCGTGCTCCGCTTCAGACATTTGAAGCAGCAGAAGCAGCAGCAGCAAGAGCAGCAGCAGCAGCAGCGACAGCAGCCGACAGCTGCTGCCTGTTTAGTGCGTGGTCCTAGTTGCTGCTGCTGCTGCTGCTGCTGCTGCTGCT